GTCCTCACCGAAGGGAATGCAGAGCTTTGAAGAGGCCATCCAGCACCTCACATGACTTGGCCCGAGGTACCAATCCCCCAAAACAAAGTGGTGATTTTCTCTTCTCCAGGTGGCACAACAAGCCATTTCCTTCCAGGTTTTCTTTACCCTCAACACATCTTAGTGTGACGAACAGCACAGATCCACGTGGATGTTTCAAACCAGTGCAATGTCAGTGAGAAGATTCCTCTTTTCCTTACTTGCCAAAACCTAAGCAGAGGGCTACAACTCATCCAAAGGACTTGAGCCATATATTTTCTTTCACCCAATATAATAATCTCTTTTAAATGATCACGAAATCCTTAATTCTTGAGTTCAACCCAAGGAAAGCTGGAAAAGAACAAAGCCAGCCGTATTTCAAATCCACTGAAGCCCTTCAGCTTTGAGTCTGTTTCACCCCTTATCGTGTTCCTTTAAACAAATGGTCAGCAGCGTTTCTGCCTCTGCACAAGCTCCATCACTCACCCATGGAGCTGGACAACTTTATACGTGAGGGTGCACATCCAAAAGGCTGTTTGCTGGACTCCAGTTCACCTTCAGAAAACAAATCACGTGAACTGTGAAGTTGCTTGTGGAGTAATTGCCCTGTAGTTACATCCAGGTGGGAGACTGGAGACGGTGCCATGTTTGATGAACGTCTCAGTGAGGGACACTCGACCCTGAGTTCCCCCCAGACACGAGCCCCAGGAAACTTCTTCTGCAGCCACAGCCCCAGCTGTTCCCCCAGCCCCAGCACATTTTCTCTTTCCTTCCACGCTCTCTTCACAAAAGGTGTTTTTTTAACTGAATAAGCCCCTCCATCGCCTTGGCTGGTTTCCTCTCGCGGGCCTTTTCAAAGAGCTCGGCGCTACCTGTTTGCCAGCTATTAAATCCCGAGCGCTTGGCTGATGGACAAGCCGATAGCACAGGACACGGCCCAGCTCTGCACAAACCGCCCTTGTTCCACCGCCTTCCTGAGCCAAAACGCAAGAAAATCCCAGCAGGAATCTCCTCTGGCCTCGGGCTCCTCTCCCCTCCCAGCAGAAGGCTAACCTTGTGAATCAGGAGGCTGCTTATAAATAAAAGTATTCAGACTTCTTGGCTGTTGGGGAAGTGCTCTGCTTAATTTAGCCCTGGTATTATGGACGGTGGATTCTCTCCAATGAACTGACAGCTGAAGAACAATTGCGGTGATTTAATTCCACAAATGGATTTTAAATTGGCCTCATGAACTGCAAACCCAGGAAACATTGGACACAGTATCTCGCTACCATCACTCTGAAGTCAGCACTGGGGTCCCCTTGGACTGGGCAAGTCACCCAAGTCCAGACAAGGGCTGTCACACGTGTGTCTCCATCTCAGAAAGAACACCTCGCTTCTGGACCCAAGAAAAGGCTACAGGTGCTTTCCTTTGCTTCCAGAGTCTAAACCCTTCCCATTTTGACTTCCAACGCCTTTGAGTGTTTCACAGTCCCATGTTTCTCCGGGACCATTGCCTCCAGCAAACCCCTCTCTCCCAGCCCTAACACACCCAGAGGCTTCCAGCTGCACAGCTCGGGGAGGCTCTCGGGAGAAATCGGGCCATTAGTCAGTCAAACAACGCCGAGGGCTCGACAAACGCTGTGTAAATGAGGGCAGTGCTGTAAAAGAGACAATAACGGTCCCCTGAAGCGGCGGGTGACAAAGCCATCTCAGCTGGCCCAGAGCACAGACACTAATCACAGCCCTGCCTGCTGACCTTCCCTTTGTGCCAAGCTAGAGGAGATCTGGGCTGGCCGATGCTTCAAAACCCAGACGGGCTAATTAGGAAGGGTCCTGCCCCCCCCCGGCACGGCACAGTTCCCACATCAGAGCCCCCAGAGCCTGAGTGTTGCTGAAACATCCCCTCTGCTGGGAAGCTTCCAGTGAGCGAACGGTGAAGCCGAGCAGCTGATTTGCAGCACGAGATGCAAACAACAACCACCTTCACACCCCCTGTCCCCGGCCGGGCGTCACTGCCACCCCCCACACACAGACCTCGCTCTGCTGTGCTCACCCGGGTCCAGCGGGTCCACCAACACCGGACCTCGGAGCGCTGGGTGGTCCCAGGATCCCCGGGAAGGCCGGGCAGGCTTGGAGCAGAGCCCAGGTTCCCCAGCACCCCCTCCCTCCCAGCAACAAGCCTGCACAGAGAGGTCATTTACGTCCAAGTTCCCAGAAGGGAGCTCCTAAAAGGAGCCTCAGCCCAAACTCCATTTACAACCCTTTGATCTACCAGGGGTGGAAGATAACAAAGGAGTCCAGGACAACTCTGCTGCTTCCTCGGCTCAGGAACAGTCCCTGTGGTCACTGAAATACTGCTCAGCTCAGCCTCTGCTCCATTGTGCTGCAAAGCAAAGCCCACCTGATGGCAGGTGGGCAAGGAGAGGGGATCAGTCTCTCCTGACAGCACCTGACAGGATCAAAAAGCCACCGAGAGCAGGAGGGAACAGAACAGGCGATGAAACCTGGACGGGTACACACGATGGGCCACGGACCTTCCTGCAGGAGCTTGTGCGGCCCCATCCAGGGCTCTGCCTTCACAATGAGGTGATTTAACACAGAGGGTGCACGACTGTTATCCCTGTCAGCAGCTCAGGAGGCCAGGAAGGACAGCATCACACCCCAGCGATGGGGAACCGCCGGCTGCCCAGCCAGGGTAAACACGGGGCTGCTGCTGCTCGGGGCTGGCCAGCAAAAACATCCCATGCTGAAAGGTCTGATAGGAGCCTGGCCAGGACAGGGAGCGTCCTGCCCCTAAGGCAAACACATTTGTGTTTCTTTCCACAAAAGAAAAAGCGATACCATTCGGATCAGACTCAGGTTTCTTGAAGACAAACGACACCACGGAACATGGCTGTGGAGCAGCTTTGCTCACACAGGTATTTTCATGTTCTTTTCACCAAACAGCCTCAACCTGCTCACATCCAGAGTCACTCCAGTGCTCCACAACTCCATCCTGGGGAGCTATTTCTCAAGGAGGTTCCATAATCTCAAATACCAGCATAGTTCCTTTGATAGGTGACAGATGAGGAAAGAATGAACCACTGATGAGGTGTCCTCCCTCCAAGCAGCCTCCAGCCTCCCATCCTGTCACAAAAATCCAGCACAAATGTTGGCTAATGAGCACCAAAGTCACAGAGTGCTTTCAAAAGTGCAAGAGATTATGAGAATCCAGACATTTGTCAGAAAAAAGTATTTACCAAGTAGAATCATTGACAGGGGTCAGTAAGAAATGAAGATGAAGGGAAGGACGAGTTTATGGCTGGGATCTTCCTGTATCCTCACCTTTCTGCCCTTGGTTCTGGTTACTTTGGGATTGAGGAGGTTCAGGCTTTGATAAAATGCTTCTCTCCAGCCCTCATTGGTGGGAAAAGAGCAGCTCCCAGGACTGCTCCAAGTCAGCTCCCCTACCTTCCCATGCCTACCTCTGGTTCCAAAGGAGGATGGAACTGCAGGTCTTGGAAGGAACAGATGGTAAAGATGGATGGTAAAGAAAAAAGCCTTACTATTTAATTTGCTGCTATAAATCAGCATCACCCAAAGATGATGTGAGCAATCACTACTGCTCTGTGCCCTGCAGACTCAGAGGGAGGAGGGGGGACAACCGTGTCTCCCTGCAGCCTGAGGTTCGTGTTCTCCAGCCATTTACACAGCACAGGGAACCTCCCAGCTCTTGGGGGTTGTTTGCTATAGAACATCATGTTCCCAAAACAGAACATCTGTGATTTACCAAACATAGGAAACTCAGTAACATTCAAGAGGGAGTTTGTATATTACACGAAAGTTAATTAAATAAAGTTTAGCAGCCCCAAAACACAGCCTGGCCAAAGACACAACAACGTTCCTTCCCAAGGTGGCAGCTCATTGCCACACTGCCCCGGGCCCAGCTTCATTCCACAGGCTGTGACCCCAGGGTTCCTTTGTTTGACCCAACTTTAATCAGCTTCCTTCTCCGATCCCAGCAGATCCCGCTGCGGATGGCAGCCAGGAATAAAGGCCATTGTACAGCGCGGGGCTGCGTCTCACAGCAAGTCATGATAAGCATTTCCTTTCCAAACATCCAAGCTCCCCAAACACTACAAAAGCCAAGAGCAGATTATTGGCATTTTGTAGATAAAACAATGGCTAAGATAAAACATAAATAAATCAGGGCATCCCTCGCTCTTTATCCTCTCCACTTCCAAACCGGAGGAAGAAGCTGCAAGGCTGCTTACCGTGCTGGCAGTGAGGTCCCTGGAAGCCAGAGGAGCAGTGACAGAGCTGTGAGGATCCCTCTCGGCAGCTTCCACCATTGAGACAAACCCTGTAACCACAGGCAGCTGCAAGGAGGAGGGAGAGGATGATTCCAGCACCCACCGGCAGAAGGGCACGTGCACCAACAAACACCCATCGCTGGTGACATGCCCACAGCCCCAGAGAACAGCTGAACAGTCATAAAACCACTGCTGAACCTGTTTGGGAAGCTTCTTGGTTGACAGTGCAATACTCAATGCACAAAGTCTCCAAATGCAGGAGGAAGGGAAGTCCCTCAGGGAATGTCTCAGGGCTTTTCCTGGAGCGTGGCTAAGTGAGGACCCACAGGAAAACATCGGAAGGGCTCTCGGTGAAACGACGGTTTTCCAGCCAACACGTGGGTAAAACAGCCAGAAAATGACTCGTGCTGAATCACAGCAGATCTTGTGGCAACAAATACAAGCTACTTATTTTGCAATTGGAGGGATCTTCCCAGAAGAAACCCCCAGGAGCTGCTCCCACCTCTCGGCCGGGCTCTCCCGGAGCGCTGGAGACCCCAACGCGGCGTCACCTTCGGGCGGCCCGGAGGGTGACATGGAGCTAAACTGCAAGTAAGCCTGAGCAGCCACATTTCTCTGTTCTCACCCAGCGGAGTGTAAAATGGACACAGAGACAGAGAATGCTCAATTAGGCTTCTGAAATCCACCTTTCCAAATCATCTACATAAATCCACAAGCAAGGTTATGTTTTATCCAGGGAAACTCGTGTTTCTCATAACTCATGAAACGCAGCCCGTGGGTTATATTTCCCACTGGGAAAGGCTGATGTCAAAAGGAGGAACGTTGTGAGCAGGGATGCTGTCACGTGTGCGGTGCTTTGTCGGAGGGTAAGGACGCAGAACAAGCACCCATCTTCCTTTTAAATCCATTTAAAGATTTGGACAATGAAATTTTCTCTCTGTTCACTGGTCTGGATATAGCTGCACTGCCAGCCAACTTCTCTTTTCATCCTTTCTCCCACACCTGCTCTTCTCCTTTCCCTTTTCACTGAACAAGCTGTAACAAACTCCAAGAGTGATGGGAGTGTTGGAATACATCTCACAAAAGCCATGGCAAACTGGATAACATGGAGCAAAGAGCATCACCTGATGACACAGGGCAAGACACACAGTGCTGGTACCTGGTGCAGCAGCTCCCCCCCAGCTCCTTGCTCAGCCCAGGGCTAAGAGAAGCCATGGGGACCAATTCATTCCAGCTGATGCATCCCAGGAAGGAACACACTGCAGTCACCAGTGGTGCCAGGATCGCTGGTGCTCAGGGCCATGGGGTCATTACCAACCGAATGTACAAAGCTGTGATTAAATTACAACCCCTTGCATGATATGGGACCACCTGGAAACAATTCCAGGCTTGCTGGGCCGAGGGTCCCACAGGCACACTGGCTGTGCTGGCTGCAGCTTCTCCCTCCTCTTTTGCAAGTCGGGAGCCCCCCTGGCTTCTCTTCCCATTCCAGCTAAAGCTGTAAGTAATTAGTGACAGAAAAAGCAGGTCTGTGATTACACATTTCATTTTGTGTCATTATAACTGGCACCCCGCACGGCCTTCAAAAATGGCTCCAAAATTCTTGGCACAAAGTACCCCACGCCGGCTCCAAAACACTAATTGTGCACTCAGAGAAAAAGGGATCACAGATGGAAACAAGAGCAAGGACGGGGCTGTGGGGTTTGGGCACATTGGCAGGACGGCTCGTGCACACCAGGAGATAAATCTGCAAAGTTATCAGTTGGCAAAGATAACTCAGAACTTTAAGGCATCCACAGGAAACCCGAGCTGGGAAAGGGCAGGGATTACCTTCACAAAAGGAACCCAAAGCTGGTGGGTGTCAACTTGTCACGCCTGAAAAATCAGTTCCAGCCTCCTGTACATGGAAATGCAATAACCACAGTCCTGAGTTCCCACTATTCTCCTCCCACCATTGAATCCCCCATGCATCAAATATTGGCTCTGTTTTTTCCTACAGGAACACAATTGACTTCCTAATTTCTCCTCTGTGCTAAATCCTGCTCCTGGCTCACACAATGCCTTCCACCAAGCCTGTGCTGGTTGGGGAGGTCGTGTGCTTAAGGAGGTTTTGTGATTAGGGATATTTTGTGAAGGTTTGGATGTGAATGTGACTGTGCCATTCTCCAAATGTGCATGTTTTCCATCAAAACACACTCTTCTTGCCAGGCAGAGCTACGTACCCGTTTCAAGGACCTTTGCTCTATCACTTCTCCTCAACCCAGCTGTCAGAGCACCCTGGGGTCAGGCACAGCCACGGGCACAGGAGCTCCCTGTGGATCCCCCAGCTCCAGCTCGTTCCAAGTCCCCCTCTCACCGAGAGCCAAACTCCCCAAACTTTGCACCTCTGATGCACTGGAGCTGAACCACTCGAGCTGCAGCCTTGGCTCTTTTAAGGACCTGATAATTTTTCAAATCCCCCCTGCAAAAGAGAAGATTATTTATAACACAAAGGTAGCATTGAAGCCCAAACACTCATCTCCCTGAAATAATGAATCGGTGATGAAATGCTGCCTCACAAAGCCAGTTATCTTCTCATCTAACGCTTTTCATGGCCACGTCTCCCTGGGGACTGCAGTGATCCCGTATCAGTCCCGTGCTGGCAGAGCTCTGGACCTTGGGAACTCTCTGCCAAGCGTCCTGCTCAGCCGAGCTGTGACACCTGCACTGCCAACATTTCCCTGCACGGCGGGGCAGGAACAACTTCCCATCTCCAGCTGTGTGCTGAGGTGTTCTGGGGCTGCAGCCTCCAGGTTTTCCCAGCTCTAGTCATGGCAGAAGGACTTGTCTTCTCTTTCAGTCCTTTCCTTCAGGCCTCATCACCATAAGACAGAATGGACTGTGTGGTTAAACTGCAGAGCGGTTTGTTTTTTTTTTCTCTCCAGATTCTTCACCTTAATCACCTAAAAAAGACTTTTGAGGGGGTCCCAGCAAAGCCCAGCCTGGACCCAGAGTGCACGACTCGCCAGCAGCTCAGCGAGACCCGAAGCACAACAATGGAAAATATTAGAAGCAGTTTCAGCGACACAAATCAGGGGTTAGAAGACAGGGGTGTTATTCTTGGCAGTGCCCCAGATTTCCTGAATGAGCCGGACAATCCCCTGCTCTGTGCTTCAGGCTGGCACATTCCGAGTGGAAATCATAATAACCTACTTCCCAGCCCGGGGGGGGGCTGTGGCTCTCCCCCTCTGTGCCCCCCAGGCCTCCTGCAAATGAGCTCCTAATTCAGAGCGACAGAGTTTAATGCAATGAAATTTGGGAAAAGGGCGATGACACTGTTCAGGGAAACAGGAAAGAAAGGATAAATTACAGAAAGCACCACTGCCTTCTGCTCAAAGGCCAGGGAATGTCCCTAGCAAGGATTTAGTGAGGCGGGATTCTTGGGAAGTTGGAGACATGAGACTGATTTGAAAGGAGGAGTGAAGGAGAAAAGCATTTCTGCATACCTGCAGTGTCTGGACTCCCCGAGGTACAACCCCCCGTGGGCAGAGATGGGCTGGTGAGTTCCCCAGGGGAGCACGTGGGGGACCTTGAACCAAGGCTGGGCTGGATGGAGGCGAGGGGTTCAGAAGTTCAGTCCCAGCACTCCCAGCTGCACTCCCAGCCCCAGCAGCAGCCCCTGTTCCCTGCAGGAGTGCGTGGTCAGGGCAGAGCCCTGCCCCTCCTGCACAGCTCACAGACCACCACACTGCAACCGTGGCCAGGTCACCTCCACCAAATCCACAATGGTCTCCCCTTCAGCCCCTGCCCAGCTCTCCCGGGAGCCCTCCTGCCTCTCCAGGTCCCCTCTGGAGGTGGCAGGGGCTGGCCCAGAGCTCAGGCACTGCCTGGGGCTGAACTCCAGCTCCTCCACACACATCAGCAGTTACAGACTCAGGGGGACTCTTCTCAACATCTTGAGCTGAAAGTGGAGATCACAGGGATTACCAGACACACAGCCCCCTCGTCCTAATCACCAAGAGCTTTACCTGTGTTATTGAACCCAGGTGGAATTTAAGTAGCATCTCAGAGGCCACTTGAAACCAAGCAGCTTAATCTGAAAGGTAAACTATCAGCAATCAGGCAGGGAAAGAACCTGATGCCATCCTAAAAATGCAAAGGGTGCCTTGACTTCTGACCTTCCTCATTCCCAAACAGATGAATGCTCCAGGACAGAGGGCAATGGAAGGCAACAAGCCCTCACCCTTCTGCTACCAGCAGAAAAGACAGGACAAAACACAGAACTCAGCCAGACTGGGGGCCTTTGTGAGATTTGTTTCTGTGAATTTTTCCATCTCTCTCCAAGCCATCTGCTCCCAGCAGAGCCCACACACTCCCAGTACTGCCCTCACAGCTCCACACTGGCCATTGCCTGACCTGTAAGTGCTTAGAGACTTAAACCTGCACGTGAGGAAGAGAAAGGCACCCTGGTTTTGCTACAACCTCCAACCTAGGCTGAGTACACCCAGTGTTTGTTCCCTTCTTCCAGGCACTGGGGTAGCTCTGAGAGCCCAAACAACTCACCTGAGCTGGTACCCACGAGGGTGCTGGGATTCCCATCTCACAAAGGTATTTAACATCCCCCTCAGTGTCAGACACTGTCATGTTGCACATGAGCCTGCAGTGCTGAAAATTTCCCCTCACATGGGTTGGGTTTTTTTATTTTTAAGGAAAGTTGGTGACCAGCCCAGCATTTGGAGCAAAGAGAGCCCTGCAGTGAGGAGATGCTGAAGAGCAAGATAAGATGTCCTCACTGGAAAGATTCCACTGCATGGTGGCAACAGCTCTAATTAAACTGTCAGCAGTGATGCCCTTCCCCTCCTCAGCACTCCTGGAACACGACCAGTGATCTCTGGAGGCAGATAGGAAGGGCCACAAATCCCACTGACATGTTTTGGCACAATAGCTTTGTGGCATTCAGCAGAGCCACAGCAGCAAGTGCAGGCTGACTCCAGGCACACAAACCAGAAAATCCTGTGTCGTACAGAGCGCCCTGGCCCTGTGCCCCTGCCTCAGCACCTCACCAATATTTACTGACAGTCCCCTGACAGACCTTCCCACACCCTCCCCTGCTCCAGGAGAACATGCTTGTGCCGAGGCCAGAGCCACCAGCAGGAAAAGTCATCACAGCCCTGCAAACCAAGAGCCAGGAGCTCCCTGGGACGAGGGTTTAGTTACACAGAGCCCAGACACGTTTCCCAGGACAGTCTGTGGGTCAGGACAGAAATCCCAGCTTGGGGCACCAGCCACCCCACCAGGGCCAGGCAGAGCTGTCCTGGTTTGATCCACTCCAAGCCCCCCAGCAGCCATTCCTGCAGAACTTTTTGAGCTGGTGTCACTCTGCCTTTGGGGCTGACTGTCCCTTTCCTCTTTACTGCAGCCCAGCCCAGGAGAACCATTCCCAGCCCAAATGATGAGAAGGATGAGTTCAGAGCGTGCCCTGAGCAGCTTTATTTCCTTTTCTCTGCTTCCTTCCTGCATGGAATTACTCACTTCCTTGGCAGAAAAAATCATTACAGAAGGTGCTTTTCTGAGTTCAGTTGAGGTTATTATCTGCTCACTGACAGGGAGTTATAAGGCACCCCTGGAGCTTCCTCTACCCAGTGCACTGCTCTCCTTTGCTCCAGGCTTTGGAATAGGAAGAATAAAGACTGGTTGCTTGACACACCTTTTTTTCCCCTTTTTTTTGTAAACCTTTGGTTCAAGCATCAAAGCACAGGGAAGGTACAGATGGCCTCTGCACAGAACAAAAGGCAACCAGCTGTGGGAGACATTTTCCTGTATTGGAGGTCAATCCCAATGCCCATGGCTGGCTCTCATTCCCCTGATGGCAGTGCAGGTCAGATCCCAAATGCTTTGCTGGTTCTCCAGCCTATCACTTAGATCTAAAGTTGCCCTTCTGTAGGGGGGGTAGAGAGCACCTCCAAAGTCTAAATCAGAGAAGAATTAGGCACCAAGGCAGAGAACTCATCCCACAGCACCAGGAGCTTGTGTGGCTCTGCAGGGGGGTGACATTTGGTTCTACACATAAGCTCAGACAAACCTTTGCTCGACTCAAGGGAAGGGTTTTCTTTGCTCTCCACATCTCGAAAGCACAGTTTGCAGTTAAATGGTTCCCCAGCTGGATGTGGCCCCAGGGTCTGGGAGCAGCAGAGCAGCTGCCTCCCGTGTCAGGCAGGGAAGTCTGGAGGGGAATGGGGAATGTGGGGCCCATGGGGACAAAACTGCCTCTGTCTCCTGCAACAACAGCATAAAATCATCTTATAGACTAATATTTGCACATCCACAGCCTGACTCATGTGCAAACCTAAATACATATCACAGCTTCCCACACAGCTGGGATGGAGACACTTCCATGCCTGCTTGGCAGAGAACTGCACTAGAAGAGAGCAGGAATCCAGCCACAGGATCCCAAAGTCTCAAGTTCTGGGTCTCCGCTCCAGACCCAACAAGTGCCACCCCCCCATGGCTGTGTGCTCTCTCCCCTGAGGCTGATGCTGCAACATCCCTTGCTGGATCCCACCGTCCTGACCCCAGGATTGCCCTTTGGATATGGGAGGAAGCAGGTATGGGGTGGATGCAGAGATCCAAAACCTCTCACAGGGGCAGCTCAAACTCAGTCTTAAAACAACAGACCCAGCCCCCAACACACACACACCTTCCCACAGGAGTTTCCAGAGTTTCTGCCAGTTTGAAACACCAGTTGGGGCTTGATTTTAAACATTTAGTAGCATTTGGTAAGTGGATAAATGACTGGGACCCTGAAACCCTCTCACGCTGCAACGTGGAAATTCTCCAAAAACAGAAAGCAACACATGGCGCTTCCCGGGAAGCCAGAGCAGAATCCTTCTGATGCACAGGTAAAGGAAACAAAAATAATCATAATAACAATATTAATAATTTTTTAAAAAAGGATTAAAAAAGGCAAAACAGTTCTCTTTAAAGACATTTAAAGACACTTTTACTGCAGGCCCAGGAACTGAAACGAGCACCCTCAGCCAAAAGACTCTGCCGTGAGCAGCGCGACACTTACGGTGCAGACACCCGTCCTCCCCGGCCAGCTGGGACCACCCCGGGCAGCACCTGTACGTGGTGTGGGATCTCAGCTGGTACAGCTGCCTGTAGCCTGTGTAGTACAGCACCCTGGAACACAAGAGAGAGACACCCAGCAGGGTCAGCTCCTGCTGCACAAGGAACTGTGAAAACAGAGCTGGTTACTCTAAATGTGGAGGCAAAGACAACGAGGAACTGTGTTTAAAACGTGCTGATATTGTTTTCCACCTGGTCTGGACACAATCACTGATGCTAAGAAAATACTCCTAATTTACTCTAATTGGGAACACAAGAGATGAGAGCCCAGGTCCCCATAACACCCTGGATTCTCTTCTTCTCCTCTAAGCTATTTCACAGCTCTGAGATCCCCCTCTTCCCTTCACAAAGGAAATGTAAATTTTAAGAACAACAGGTATTTCAGCTTTAGTGAGCAGGAGCAGGTGTCTCCAAGGGTCTGGTGAGCTAAAAAATCACCAGAATCCTGATGGCAACACCAAGCTCCTCCAAAAGCTGTGTTGTACACAGCAAGGCTCCACAGCTTGGCAGGGGATGCTGAGGATCCCTTTAACTACTCCAAGTAGTTCCCTCCAGGGTGGGAGCTGAGGGAGTAAAGCAGGGACTCATCTGAAGTGTAAATAAATAAAAGCGACACGTTTTTTCCCGGAAATTTGATGTTGTGTGTTTGTGAGAATTGAAACACAGATAAAACTTTTGAAGCTGATTTTTGCGAGGCTCCGTTGGCAGAACATGAAACTGCTCCACCAAAGCAAGTCAGGCAAACAACAACAAATATTTGGCACAGCAGATGTGTTGTGCATGTCCACTGAAAATATTTATCCTAACTCAGTCGAGTTGTTTGATTTCATCTGAATGTCTCTCTACAAAAAAAAAACAAGTAACGGTGAACCATTAATTCCCAGGAAGGAAACCTTTGGACTCCTCTGTGCCAATCAGCACGGGGAAGAACAGCTGAGAAAAATAAGAGCAGATTCCAATATTTCTTTTTGTATGAGCTGTTAGCACATTATGAAGGAAATAGTTGTGTTCCAGAAGAAGCTGAGAAAGCAATTTACAGGCACCAGGTTCCAATGCATCAGGATCCTCCTGGTACCAGGAGCTCTGTCCAGCCCAGCCTGGGGAAGACAGGGGGCTGTGGAAGGAGAAGGGTAGATGGTGGGTGCAGGGTGGTGTGAACATAACAAGGAGGCTCAGAAATGGGGAGGGAAAGGTAGAAATAGTGAGGTAGGACAGCTCAGGGCTGATCCTGGGCTCCCTGTGCCCCAGCAGCCCCTGGGCAGTGTCACCCCCACAGCCCGGGTGGCTCCGTTGGACACTTCAGACCCTTCCACCAGTGCAGGGTTCTCAGGAAAGGCAAATATTGTGACAGCCTCGGTGCCTGTGGGTATCTGGGTGCTGCAGACGGGAAAGAGCCACACAGGAGATACTTTATCTTCAGAGTTTCTGTTTTCTTTTGTGTTCTAAGGAGCCCCTGGCACAGAAAATGTGGAATGAGCCAGAACTAATGGAACCCAGGAAATCCTGCTGTGTCCTGCTGCTGGAAAATCCCCTTCCAGCCCCTCTGGGGTATCACTGTCACTCCTCCAGGTTTGGTTACAGAGCTCTGAGCAAAGCTACCTGCTGTCATCACTCATTGGGAAGCTGCACACCGGGAGCAAACCCATCCCTTCCCCGGGAAGGTGGAGCAGAGCAGGTTGAGGATGCTCCGTTCGGCTGCCATGGAGCGGGTGCTGGTTTTCCCAGTCACCTCCAGGAACTCAAAGGTACCGAGGCCGATTTCAGGCCAGATCCTGAAGCTGTGAATGCACTTCCTGAGCCTCGTGCTTCCAGAGCCAGGTCCAACTGGAGCAGCTCCAGAGGGTGAGACGGAGGCTCCCCAGAGTCCCCGTGAGCGCCACTGCCCTCGAGTGCTCGGCACAGGGGAGCTTGGCAGGAGAGCTCCCAGCTATTGGAACAGGTTTGCTGCAGTGGGAACTCCCAGAGGTTTAGAGTGAGGGGACCTGGGACAAAATGCCACCTGAGGAACGTTCTGCTCTCACAGCTCCTGGGGTGAAATATCTCACAGGCTTCTCCTCTGCGTTTTCATCAGGAACAGAGTTTTAGCACTGGGCTGTTCTGATATTTAGAATGCAGCAGAACAGAAAGTTATTTCATTTCAGTCTCTTGATTTATGATGTCAAAACCATCCATTAAAGAGCTGAAGGGACAGCTGGGGCTGAAGGGTTCCCAGCCTTTGAAGTAGAAGCAGACAGGGCACCCATCCTTTCAAAGCCTTCCCTTAAAACACAGCCAAAAACCAGACTCTGTTTGCTCCTTTGTTACCAGGACACGGATCTCATCGCCAGGGTAATTACTGGCAATTACAGGTTAGGAGGAATTCCTAAAGTCAAGACTTAAAAGCTGTCTCGAGTCCAAGATGTTTCTTTGAGATGACAACTATCATTATTCTGTAAAGGCTCGTAGGTGCCTAATGAGGCCGGAAAAGCAGGTGGAGGACGGAAGCAGCTTGGGCATGTTGTAGTTTGGCTGCTGGGTAGGGAAGAAAAGTGCATTATTTGCACTGTCACACGTGTTCAGAGCCCTCCTTCCTCAGGCTGGGCTCCCAGCTCTGGACAGCTGGAACTCAAGGGATACTACGAGGACATTCAAACTCTGCTCGCCTGTGCCAGTCCAACTCCACTGAGCTCTACACTCTTCTCACGTGGGCCTGAGCATGGTCCAGCTCATGGAGTGAAAGGAAGGTGGTGATGCTGCAGCAAATCCTGCTGAGTGCCACCCCACCAGTCCCTGTCCTCCACCCCATTGCCAGCACCACAGCCACACTTACAGTTATTTTTAGACAAGAGCCCTCCTGCCACCAGCCCTGTGAGACAAGAGGCACCAAGATGCTTTGAAGCATCTAAAGACACAGGAATAACACACGTGATGTGAACAGGTCATTTCCTTACCACAGCTGGATCACAGGAAGCAGGTGTCGTACGTCGTGGGAAGGCGGGAAATGGCCCACCACGAGGACGAGGTTTCTTCAGGACACAGGCACCTTTCCTTCAGGAATTCCTTGACAGCTTAAAAACTCTGTGTCGTGGATGTGCCAGGCGGGATCAGACACCACCAAGCTCACTTCCCCGCTGCTGCTGGGGAGCAGGAGCCACCTTTCAGCCCCCAGGGAGGGACCCCCGTGGAAGGCAGAGCACCTACCTGCGCTCGTAGCCCGTGCACCAGCGCCGGCCCCCGCAGTCCTGCTTCCACACCTTGATGGCGCGGGTCAGCGCCTGCACGCACGGCTGCTGCTGCCCCACCACCAACAGCTCCTGCTCCGCGCAGACGTTCGGCCTGGGACACAGAGACGGGGGTACAGGGGGCTGGGAGGGTTTGGGGTGCACAGAGGGGGCTGGGGTGTCCAGGGGCGCAGCAGTGCTCCCGCTGCCCCAACAGGCTCCTGCCGTGGGCAACTGCACTTCCTGCTGACGGGGCAGGAAGGTCTTGGGCAGCCCCCAGCATCTGCCTCCTCAATTAGTTAAATCACTGCAGGGAAAAGAAATCGTGCCAGGTCAGCCAGCCACAGTGGTGGTTTCTCACTCATTCAGAACTAAGACTAATTCCAGCAAATAAAAGGAATATATACAATGCAGTAAGGAAATAAGGGAAATACCACTTGCACTTTGTTTCTTCTCTAATCCTAACTCTTTCTCCCAGCAGAAGTCAGTGGTTTTAACTAAGAATAAAGAGGGAGACATTTATCCCTGACTCTATAAGCCACGAGCCACACAGCATTTGGGGCTGCTTCTGCTGCTTCCAATTCCACCAAAGGGACCCAGAGTTTTCACAAAGATACTTTCTATAAAGGAAGTGAAAGGAAATAATTTTGACGTGGTGAAGCTCAATCACAGCTAGCATCCGACTGCTCCGGGTGCTCCACTCCAACTGCAGCCCGTTGGCACAGGGTTCAGCTCCAGGGCCTCGTCCAAGGAGTCCTGAGAGCAACTGTCAGGGCAGGAGCACAAAACCCCTGATGCAGGGAGAAAAAGCAGCTTCTTGGAAAACGTTTATCTGCTAAAGGACCCCTTTTACTGGAGAACTAAACCCTCAGGGAGGGCGGGTTGGAGTCAGTGCCCCACACCACACCGGCTCCATGGACAAAGGGAATTAGAGCGATCCCCTGGCTCTGAGAGACCATCTTCTGGCAGGAGGCCAAATTTGCAAGGAAGTTTTCCAAAGCAGCCAAATGATTAACACCAAACTGTAACTGTAAAATGTAATTAAAAAGAGCAGCCTACGTGCTGCTGGAGCAACAGCAGCGGGTGGGGAGGAACGTGGAATAAGAAAGATCCGTGAAGTGCCATAAAAACAGCCCATCTGGGAAGAAAGGGCAAACTATTCAGAGAAGAATCACCTCTTTCAGAGAAGAATCACCTCTTTCACTCCCACAACAGCAGCATTTCAGTTAAACCTGGGAGTTTACAAGCAAAGATTATCAAGGTTTTCGATATTCTATTCCCTTTTTTGCACATCTGGTAGTAAATAAAGAAACCCACAACAGCCCCTGCTCCCCTTCACTCTCTGCTCCTCGCTTCTTCCTTGATTTGAAAACACTGTATTTGGCTCCTGCTTTTCAGTTCCCTGCCCGATAAAACCCCTCCGGAACTCGTTCCTTCCTACTCACATGTGGGGCTGCAGTTTGCTCCCAGAAGCCAGCGGAGATATTCGCAGGGCCAGGATGAACGACAGTGCCACCGCAGGAAACTCCATCGCAGCCGCTGCTCTCCCTCCAGGTGCTCCTAGCGGGTGCCCAGGGAATCCCAGAGCCTCCCCCAGCACAGCTCCGCCAGTTCCTCCTCCTCGCGGGCAGACGATCCTGCTGCCTCCTGCTCCCAGCTTGCCGGTGTCTCTCCTTGGAAAGGACAAAGCTACCGGAGCACAGGGGAGTTCTCGCGGCGGGAAAGCGGATTTATCATTCCTGGATGCTTCCTCCCTCTTGGGTTCATTCAGCGAGTTTCTTCAGCCCATGGGAAGTGATCACAGTGCAGGTTGCTGCTGGGTTTTCCCCCAAACCAAACCTGGCTTCTCATGCTCATTTGCTCGCAGTGAAATGCACTGAAGTAACTTTTCCTTCTGGGATTTGCTTCCTGACAAAGCCCAGAGATCTGGGGGCTCACAAGACCTGGGCTGTGTCCAGCAGCACAGCCCCATGTGGGCTGAGCTGCTCCGGAGCTGAGATCCCCTTCCCAAGGCACTCTGGAAAACAGCACTTGGCAAGAGGAAAGAAGAAGGACGGGAGCTCTCCTGGCAGGAGAATCCCCCTTCTCAGGGGCTTTCCCCAAAGCACACGGGGTGCTCCTTCACTCCATCCGCAGAGGGGGAGGCATCCTCCTGCCGCAGCTCCCACCCTCCTCCGCAGCCGGGAGCGAGCAGCTCCGCGGGCACGAACACACGCACCGGAGCAGCTTCCCTGCAGTTCACGGGAGTCACAAAACTTCCCCCTGCCTCTCCAGGTCCAGCTCCTTTCCCTCACATGCTCTCCTGCCTCTTTGCTCGCTGTCAGTCAGAAATCCCTCCCACCAGCGGTGCCCAGCCCCGAGCAGGGGAGGGGGCGGCCCTGCACACGGGGATGGAGCAGCGATGCTTCGGGTCTGCTCCTCCACAGGCAGCTCTTTGCACTTCCCAGGGCCAGCTCCGGACACACCACCTTCCCAGCAGCTCTAAAAACACCCAAAGAGAGATTCAATCTTTCCTAAGCACTCCAACAGATAAGTAAATTGATCACTTCCCAAGGAAATTCTGCTGACAGGGACAGCTCCAGCTGCACAGCGGGATGGGGAGGAGAGCAGAGTAGAGATGCTGCACTGAACTCTCCAGCCTCAAGAACCTGCCAGGAAACCCTTCCCAAGGGCGAGGAGGAACCAGAGCAGAAGCTGGGGCACTCCAGGGCACTCCTGGCTTCTGGCAGGTGCTGATTTCCCCCAGAGAAGCAGGATAAGAAGGTTTGGATAGCTTCACAGACATATTTTGCCACTGAAGGACAACCATTAATCAAGACTAAAGTCCCCAAGGGCCATGCCCATAATCTGGTGGCTCTTGGAAGAAACCCAGGCAGCTGCTTCTTACACCAGAACCCTCCCAAGGTCAAAGCAGTGCCATAAATCCCACAGGTCAAAGAAAAGAGCAGGTGAGGAGGCTTAATGCTTCCACTTAGCAGTAAAATATCTGCCAAGCCTAACGGATGGGAAGAAAACACCCTTCATTCTTCCTTGGGAAGAAAGGCAGCTACATAAAGATGTTTTATAACAACAGAGAGAGCTCCAGGATATAATAAATCCAAGCCTCTGTTTTCCTGTCCAGCATTTAAAAGTTAGGACTTTTCCAACAGTAGGAAACAGGCTGCTGCTCCCAGTTAGACTTCCAGGGATCCCTCTCAATGGGCAGGGGCTGGGCAGAGCCGGGAGTCGAGCTCCCTCTCCAGGACACGGCTCGGGGCCAGGAATGGGGATGGATCAGTCCAGCCACAGCTCCCACACTGTCTCAGGTGACAAGCCTGGCTGCCACACGGACAGGACACAACTCCCTGCAGGGTCCTGGCTGGCCTGGCATGGTGACCCTCCCAGCCACAGCCACCCCAGCAGGCTGCCAGTGGGGAGAAGGGGAAGCTCCTCTGGGAAAAGCTGCGCTTTGAGCACAGCACGAGGAGCGACCAAGCATAAAGTCAGCTCTGCAGTTCTTGTAAAGTCTCTTTAAAGACAGCAGCAAGGTTTCCCACCTAAACAGGCCCATGTGAGCAAGGGCTGCAGAGAACACAGCAGGGAATTCGTGGGACACATGTGAAAGTCAGATATCTGAAACCCAACCCCATCTGTGAAGTCAATTTGGTATGTTTTCAATCTTATATCATTTCCCAGCACAGCCGCCTGCCAAGGATGTCATCCTCTGGCTCTGGGTACAACAGCACTGACAGTGGTCCAAGATCTGATATAGTTCCATAAACAGTGATGATAATATCTGCAGTCATGCCAGAGCCCACAGAAACCCAAACATCAGCATGCCCTTCATTCCCAGCGTTATTTAATCTTCGCTATCAAGCGTGCTGGGTGTGATATGGGTGTCGGGGCTCTCAAATCACAGTCCTGTCCCCAGACCTGCACTGCTCCAGTACCTTCCTGAGCTCTGACCTGATGGTGTTTAAGGATCTCATACCTCTGACCTGGATTTGCTTCACAGGAGCTCCAACTGACCGCTGTAGGTCCACAAATCCTGTTGCTTTGTGGGTACATCAGAATCCTTCTCCAGACCACCTGGGCAGAGCAGAGCATCATTTTGGCTAAGCCCAGGGCTTCCCGCTGGACTCTCTGTGCTGTATGTCATGTGCTTGTCTTCCTCAGCCCCGAAAATCCACGGCAGAGCCAAGACAGGCCTCATACACCTCTGAGTGTGCAACAGGAACGGCACCTGGTACCTCATACAGTCCCAGATGTGCGAGAGCAGAGACACCTCGTACCTAATACAGCTCCGGGCAAGGGACAGTGACAGCACCCACCACCTCGTACAGCCCCAGGTGTGGGGCAGTGATGGTACCCGGTACAGTCTCGGTGTGTGATGGTGACAGTACCTGATGCAGCTCCTGTGCGTGACGGTGACGGCACCTGGTACCCAGCACAGCTCTGGGCAAGCGACAGTGACGGCATCCGCCGCTTCGCACCGCCCCGGCGCGTGATGGGGACGCGCCCGTTACCCAGAGAGCGCGGGTAACGGATGCCCCGCATCCCGTGCCCCGCATCCCGGCGGCCGGGCTCTGTCCGGGTACCGCCCGCGCATCCTCCGGTGCCGCCTCCCGTGACGCGAGCCGGCTTGCCAGTCGCCGCTCCGCGACGCGACCGATCGCTGCAGTGCCTCGCTTCGCGATCAGCGAGCCGGGGCTGCAAGTGCCGCTCCCGCAGCCAGTAGGAGCGGGGAGGCACGGGCAGCCCCGTACAGCCGGCCCCAGCTCGCTCCTCGCTCCGGGAAGGCTCTCTGCGAGACCCCCCGCGATGCTGCGCTGCGGGCACGACGACGACGCCCGCCGGGCTCCGGGGGAACAATCACCGGTCAGAAGGCCGGCCCGGTAGGCCCCGGGCAGCCGCCGGGGCTCGCCACGCTGTTGCGTGCCGGGGGGCGGGCGCCCTTTCTATCCGCCGCGCCGCCGGCCCGGCAGACCGCTGAGGGGCCGCTCAGTGTTCGTCCGCACACGGCGGGCCCGCGACCGCCCGCCTGCGACCAGTACTTCGTGCTTCCGGGCTACATTCCTCGTGCTAGTGCGCGCCGGGCAAGGGCCGGGCCGACGGCCGGGGTCGCCGCCCCGCACAGCCCCCCGCAGCCCTGACCTGTGTGTGCCTTCCCCCCGCAGCCCGGCACCATCGAGCAGGCGGTGAGCGAGATCCGGGTGGTCGTGCTGCCCGCCGAGGACGGGGAGGTGCAGAGCGTGTGGCTGCTCACAGAGTGAGTCCCGAGGGGCACGGGGGGAGAAGCGCCAGGGCGGCCTCGGAACCACTAAAGCTCCGTCCCATTCTCTTACCAGAATCGATCACTGGAACAATGAGAAGGAGCGTCTTGTCCTCATCACGGACTGGTCCCTCCTGGTGTGTAAGTACAACTTCATCAGCCTGCAGTGCCAGCAGGTGACGAGGATCGCCCTCAGCGCTGTGGACACCATCTCTATGGGAGAGTTCGAGTTCCCACCGAAATCTCTGAACAAGTAAGCTGCCACAGTCACTCTGTAACGACCTTTGTTATTGTGAACAATGTTGGCCTGATGCTGATCACTGGAAGGGTCAGAGAATTCTTCTTTTCACTTACTTAGCTCTGCAAACAATTCCTGAAGCTTCATTAGAAGACCTCAGGGTAGCTGCTGGTTTGCTGATACGGTCAGTAGTTGCATTAATAGCAAGTTGCTCAAGGACTTTCAAGATGAGTAGATTTGGGAGCAGGAGTTTGTCACCATTATGTAACGCAGTAAGTAGCAGCAGCACCACCTCAGTGTTGTCAGGTCCCCTGTACACATGGGCTTTCACAGGCTGTGCAGGTCAAGTTCCACGTCCCAGATGTCCAAGGAGTTTCACCTTCTTGCTGTCAGCTCATAGGAAGGTTCCTTTGCATGTTTAAGGGCTGAATTAATGCTAATTCTTGCCTACAGGAAAGATTTCCTATCACTTGCATTTCAGCTTCCAGTTTCAACTGTCTTTGTCAGGCAGAACTTTCTAGTTAAAAGGTGCCTCAACAACTGGAAAGTCTTCCCCTGTTAATTCCTGTCTCCACTGCAGGCGGGAAGGCGTCGGTATCCGCATTCAGTGGGACAAGCAAAGCAGGGCCTCCTTCATCAACAGGTGGAACCCCTGGTCCACCAACATCCCCTACATCACCTTCACCGAGCACCCCATGGCAGACGCTGACGAGAAGGTCGCATCCCTGTGCCGGGTAAGGAACGGGCCTGTCCTGATCACTGAGCTCATAGGCCAGATACAACTCAGATTACTTTGAAGCAGTGCATCAAACAGGAGGAGTCACGTCAGAGATGGAACTTAGAACTGTGAGCTGTATCTCTCCAGTCCCCAAATTTTGACTTGCAGCATGCCTGTTTTCCTCCAGCCACCCATAACTGGATGAAGCACAGAGGAAACTGAAACTTCCAGAAGCACAGAGTCCTGTAAAACCGAAAAGCAAATGGATCATGGCCTATTCCTGCTCTTACTTACCTGACAGGCTGGTGGATTTTTCCTCTAGGACTGCCAGCTAATTAACAGCTGGTTTAATTGCTCACTGAAAACCTTCACTGAGGGGGTTCTCAGTCCTTCTTGGAATAGGTGATTCCCTCTGGAGTTTTCCTTAAAACTAGAATGCTTTAAGTGCAACACATCAGTCATCAGGGCAGAAATAAACACTTGGTCACTGACACATCTTTACCCATCCAGCCCACGTTTAAGTCACGTGTCAATAGTGTCCTGCGTGACTCATTGAGGTTAAATATCAGAATGTGACATTTATCACAGTACGAGATCCCTGACAACTCCGGCTTTAGTGTTAATCCTTCTCCATTCCACATCAGCAGCTGTTTCCCTAACAGTTTGTAAAACAATGGAAAAACAAGGTGACTTTTTTTTCTTTCAGCTGGAAAACTTCCAAACACAGCTGATCCAGGCTGTGAAGAAAGCCCACAAGGAGGGCCCTGTGCCAGGGAGTGCTTCTGGTGTCCTGGTGCTGGAGCGGCCCATCCTCATCGAGACCTACCTGGGACTGATGTCCTTCATCAACAACGAGGCCAAACTGGGCTACTCCATGACAAGAGGAAAAATTGGATTTTAAGCCCCCTTGCTGTCCCCTGTTGAAGGAAGGGCAGGTGACTTGCTGTTGGTCCCCGGGGAGAGCGCGCTGAGGGCAGAGCACAACGGGCAAAGGGGAGTTGGGGGAAGGAAGGGGGGTGGTTGTAGGACAGCTCCAGGTCGCTTGGGGAATGCACAGATTGGATTTGAGGCAGACACAGGGTGGTGTCAGTCTGGTATTTTGTACCTGATGTACAGCCCGCGTGGTCCCTGTGGGGTGAGCAGCGGCGTGTTCCGTGTCCTTCCAGGCCTGTTCTTCCTGTTCATGAAGTGCCCTTGGAACCTGCTGAAACCCTGCCCAAGTACCTGCTGTACAATAGAACCTTTGTGCCACGTTACTGCTGTATCCCTGTGTATGGTGTCAGATCCTACCCTGTGCTTGGGACTGATTAGTGTTGTCTAAAGAGGAATTACTGTTCCAATCTCCGTGATCTCAGCGCTCTCATTAATGCCTGTTAGGAGTTTTGAAAGCTGTCAGTCAGTCTTTAACAATATTTGCTGGCTTTTGCTAAAGCTGCACTGTTCCACCTGCTCAGCAGCAGTTGGTGAACTCTGAATATGCTTTTTGTAAAAATCCCTCTAAAAACCCACTGGAACTTCCTCTGTTTCCTTGCTGCAGCCACAGAATAAAGACTGTTGTGAGAGAACATTGCCAAAAGCCTCACCAACACATTTGCCTTCAAAGCTGCTCTTTGTAAAACTGAAAAGGAATTCTATTTTGGTTAGATTGATATTCTTAGCCATTTTTCTGAAATCTACTCTAGTTTGGGCCAGGACTTTTTAATGGAGACAGAGAAAAAAAACTTTCAGCACTGTGTGTCAGCCTTGCTTTATACATTCCTGCCCTGAGCCTCACGTCCAGGGATTAAATTGAGAAGCAGCACAAGAGACACTGAGCTGGCATTGCTGAAGAGGTGATTCTTTGTGCATGACCTTCTCTCCATGCCCTTTTATCAAAGCCTTTATCTGCTGGATAAACACTGTGCTGCAGTGGTGTTTTTTTGGCCTTAACATAGGTGTGTGTTTGTGAAACTCATAAAAAAGCTGGAGTCCTGATGGAATGCAACAAGCTGCATTGTCCCTCTCTGTGCATTTTCTAAGTTGTCTGTTCAGTTTTCATTAACCTTGCAGTAAAGTTAGATTTCAACTCAATTTGGTCTTTGTTCTTCATTTTCTGGAGACAGGCTGTGAAATTAGGCATCACAAGAAAAAACATCCAATAAATTCCTACACAAGGGGCTCCCTCCTTGGAAGGACACAGTGGAAGGACAGTCCAACTGCTCCTTCCCTACCAAATCACCCACTCCCAGCTGGCACCAGAGAATTGGGACAAAACCTGCCATTTCAGTTGCCTGTAATTCAACATCCTGAAATGTCAGTTGTCATCGCTCTTGTAAAGATTCCATATAATAAATCCACAGTGGCCCAGGCACAGTTACTGCCTCCCATGTTGTGTGCAAGTAACAGTTTCCTCATGTTGGGATAAGTCACTGCATAATCACATCAAACTGACACAGACTTTAGAGTGCAGAGGTGCAGGTTTATAGTTTGTAACTATCAAAATATTTATTGGAAATTAGAAAATTTAAATAATAGCTATACATTATATACACACAGAGCTACAGTCCTGGAAAATAAGGGTTCAGAGTTGACACAGAGAAATGTTCAACTCCATCAATATTCAGGTTTTTCTTGCAATCCAGACTCACTCCCTACATTTCAGTTGCTACATCACTCAAGTGCAATCACAATACTTCACACACTGAGCTTGGAGCTCCTTCAAATAAATAATTTATAAATACAAACACTTCAGATTGGGCAACACATTTTTACCCTTTTCCTCGTTCTTCCTCAGACTTGGGAGCATTCTTAGCGCATTTTAATTTTTTTATTTTACCTCTTCTCTTTCTAAGTAACACACACAGCAGTTGTCCTTACTCAGGAGCACCATGGAGTCCCCGCTGGAATGCCAGGAGAGAGACACGATCTGGAAGTCGCCTGCAGGAAGAGATCAGAGTGTGTCAGCAAGGAGCTGGCAGCCCGTCCTCCTGCTGGAGGAAAAGGCAGCTGGAATCAGTCACACAAATCCCTGTCAGCCCCGTGCTCTGTCCTTGATACATTTGACATTCGCTGCCTCATTGTGAGCTCCTCCTTTTTCTGAGGATAAAAATACCTGCTTTCAAGAAGCTCCAAGAACACACCTGAGCCATTTTCATGGTAACACTCGGAGTGATTAATAAGTGGAAAGCTATTTCACCCCTGATCAGCTGGTGGCAGCTCCTGCAGGGCCTCACCTTCCCCGGGCACCTGGACGGCCACGCAGCCGGCGGGGGACCACAGGAACACTCTGCTGGTGCCCGTGCACAGCGCCAGGCGCGGCTGCCGGGGGTCCCACTGGAAACCCTGGACGGGGCACAGCTGCTCCAGCACCACCAACAGCTTCAGCCTCCGGATGTCCCAGACCCACACAGCGTTGGGAATGCTGTCTGCAAAGGAAGCGCCAGTCACATAAGACTTGAAGGATGAAAGGGTCACACTTGTGGTTTTTAAACGGGTATTAACTGACACAAACATAAATTAACACAACACAAACCTCTAGGTGCACCCCAGGGGTGCTACCACTAGAGTCTTGCCAAGCAAAGCCTTCAGCATTGCCTCGGAAATATTGCAAAAACGGTAAAAGAAGTGACTTAGTACATCTCCCAGTTCTTCCCTGGCTTTTATCTCATCAGTCTGTTTGATGGATTTTGCACCTGACCCACAGCTTTGGCATCCAGACATGAACAGCTCCTCAGGATCATTGAAGGGAAAGATGGAACATTAATTCCATGACTTTCACTATTTGAGGCAGTCAGAATCCCCCCTGCTACAGGCTGTGCAGAGTTCTGCCTTTCACAAGACCCAGGCTGTAAATGGAGGGGAAGATTTGCATGTTCCATTTTCAACACAGTGACCTTGCACACACTTGAAGAAATACAAAAACCTACTATTTTCATCAAATACAGAGCCAAGGCTGAGTTCCTGCTCTGATCAGCCATTCTGGCAGCTCACACCACTTGACATACACTAGAAGACAGAGGCTGGGTTGCCTCTGTAGTTACACGTCTCAGCAGAGCTGATTTTACAGAGCAACAAGTGCAATAAGGAAACCCCCCCATTCCCAGAGAGGGTTTCCCTTTAAGGCAGAGCAGTCAGAACTTACCATTTTTGGTTGCCAGGAAACAATTATCTGCACTGAACGCCAACATCCCAACTCCCACTTTGGGATTTGCCCTGTCAGCAACTGGTTTGATATACTGTAAAGAAACTGGCACCTGGGAGATCTCATCTGGAACGGGAAAGAAAAGCACTTCACTAAGTGAGCCTGAATGGACAATGCATTTAAACCCCAGCTGTTAAAACCCATCATCTCTGAAGCAATAGGACCACATTTTACTCTTCTCCAAGATGTTCCAGTCAAAACTTCAATTCTTTTAAGATATTGCATATTCATGTAACCAGCTTATTATTTCCAGCCCTCCGACAAAAAAGGAAAGGCTGGAAATCCAGGCAGGTCTGAGATTAAATTAGGAAAATAAGGAGGGGTCAGAATTTCCACTACCTTTTAACTAACATTTCAAACATTGGTGCAAAACAAAGGTCATTAACAGTGCCACAAGCAATGAGATTGGTTTTTACTGCTCTTGAGAACATCCAGAGGATCTGTTCCACCATCCAAGGGGCAGAGTTCACCTATACCATTTATTTATAGAAAGACTTCCCATGGCAAACTCAAGTGTCTTGTTTAAGTAAACTTTGGCTTACATTTACTCTGTGTGCTGAAGAGAGAACTGGCCAATGCTTTTGTTGGAGGGAAAGAAAGTCTCTCTGTTTCAACAGATGGGGATTTCTCCACTTCTTTGTACACAATCTACAAAGAAACAAGTGAGAGTTCTACGGAAGGGCCTTGGAGAGTTTGATCATGGGCTGTTACCAAACACCCATACCCCACTGACTCTTTGCACATTTATTATATCTCAGAATCCCCTGGTTCATCAGAGGAAAGGGCTTTGGTAGACAGACATGGAATTCAGCACTCCCAGGGAATCCCAGGCTGTTTGGAACCATGATCAGTAAAAACACTCCTGTGACAAATACACAAACCTTGAAGTCTACAAGGAATGAATCTGCCACAGCGCCCCTCATTCATTATTCCTGACTGGAAAATAAATCATCCTCATTACAGTGGGAACATGGATTTCATTTTTGCAGCCAACAATCTTTAATCTGATTCTATCATAAATAAACTCAAACCAAGTGCAGCATTGCAGAAGGAAATAGCAAAAATATTTCAGCATGCCTACAACATATTCCCAAACACAAGCACCAGGCTAAAAAGCACCAACTGCAATTCCTGCCTGTGTAGTGGAGATTAACAGAGCTATTTCCATTTGTTTTCCATGACATATTTTACACCTAACTGGAAGTAAAGGCATTTCTCAGCCATGAGAAGCTTTGCTGAGGTGCTTTAATGGCTCGTGCCTTTCTTCTGGTTAAGGGACATGAGCAGAGTCGTGTGACTACTGCAGAGTTACAGTCCACACACAGACTCTGCCAGGAGACCTGTGCAGTCCCTCCTACAGTGGCAAACAACTCTACACACTGTTCTTGTTACCTCTGTGGATGAGATCAGCCTGGGATTTTTGGAACAAGACTAAAGTTCTGTGCCTGCTGCCAACGACCCAGAATCTGTCAGGCCTTGCAGGTACAGGTATAAAGGATAAAATCAATGCTGACAGATGTTCCAGGAAATGCTCTTTAGGTGAGCTGGATGAGCCTGTCCACACAGGATGTGCCTCTAAACATCACTGGAACTGGATTGTGATCAAAGTCAGGAACTGTATAAAGCTGAGACAAATCCCTCCTCCTTCCCATGGGATGCACACCCAAATCTGTAATGCAGCCACCACCTACACCAAATACACTGGCATATGACAGGAGCATCTGAGAATCTCTTAGTGCTAAGGAGAAGATCACAGACACATATCCCATCAAATTTGAAAGGATTCCCCCATTTTTCTTACATTCCCAAGTTTTCATGCAATTTCCCAAGCCCTAATTAGGTGTTGGGGGGGGGGAAATCAAGGTCTCCAAAATGAAATGCATTTATCAGCATCTTTCAGACACAAACAGCAGCACCAAAGCTCTGCTAACAACCCCATGGATTTTGGATCTGTACTCACAGTCTTTTTGCTGGCAATGGTTGCTGGATGCTCAAACTCTGTGATCTTCTTCCACGTCACGTGGTTCAAGATACGCACCTGGTTCAGGAAGCATTGCAAGAGCAGACTGTCAGGACAGGGCTCTACAAATGCTTTAGAACAAAGAGGGAGAAAACAAACCTATTTCTCACCTTCTCATCAAAGCTGCCAATTGCCAGGAACTGGCTGCTGGGGCTCCAGGCAACCGACTTGATGCCCAGAGGCCACTCGTAGGCGCGGTAGGAGGAGAGCAGTCTGCCATCGAGGGAGTACAGCAGGAGCTTGTACTGCAACACAGACAGGCACTCTGAACACCAGCAGGAGTGTCAGAGACCACAGGCAGGCAAAGCACTCCTCCCAAACTCTCTCTGTTTAAAATGCAGCAAGTTAAATACAGAGGTCATGGTCTCTTATCTACGAGTTAGCCGGC